TGAGATAGCTGCATACCGCCTCCGTATGAATTGTGTTGCTTTAATAATTTTCTCTTGTTGTTTATCTGGAGCCCAGCTGTCAGTTACACGTATAAATGTTGAAATATTCACTTCTTTACAAAATATAAGATTCTGTATGTTCCTGCTTTGAAACACAAGAAAGAAAAGATAAAAATAAACAAGTTCGAGAGCAATAAGTGAATTAAATATAGAAGATTCCATTCTGACAAAAAGGCTACTTCTTTCTGTATAAAGGTAAGGACATGGTTACAAAAGGAGACTGCATATTAACTTTCTTTGGTTATTCTTTTCAGAAACCCTTCGGAAATATCCAGTTGTTCCAATCTTAAACCGTGAATGTACCAAAGCCTACAAAATACCTGATACGGATATTGTTCTGGAGAAGGGAATCTTGACGGTTATACCCGTCTTGGCCCTTCATCACGACCCTAAGTATTATCCTGACCCTGAGAGATTCGACCCGGAGAGATTCAGTGAAGAGGAAAAGGCGAAGAGGCACCACTACGTGTATCTGCCCTTCGGAGAGGGTCCCAGGATATGCATAGGTACGTTCAGTCTATCGAAACTTTATGTTGCCATTCATATAAGAAAAGCAGCAAATTTGAGGTTAGTGGTGCCAGCTCAGTGCGATTAATAATCAGACACAAGATTATAATCAGTTTTGGGAAAATATGAAATTTATGTTTATTCTTCTGTGTTCAATTGATATACTTTCTAAATTCATGGGCATGACGGAACAGCAATTTGATACCAGCACAAAATCATAACGTTTATAAATTAAACTTGCCAATAAATGTTTGTAGGGTAAATAAGAGTTGGAGAATATTGTGGGTAGGAGTATAGTATTAGTGACAGAGATGAGAAGTGGATGTTGAATATTAGTATAGAACTGAAACGTGACCTATGGGTAGTAACACTAATATTAGTCATAATGGTGTGGGCTGGAAACTGGGCCCAGAGGTAGGCGTTTGTGACAAGGTAATGAGCCTTCGGGTTCCATATATCATTGTGAATTTCTGCTGTATTTAACCATTGTTGGCTTAACAGGAAGGTCTCTGATGCGTGGCGTTAATTACTTAGGTTCTACCGGCTTTTCGCAATGCTAACGTTCGTTGGTTAGGTCTGACTTTCCGAAATGACATAATGCCACATTTCTTACAGTAAAAATATATGATGAAATGTATGAAAGTTATGAAGTTCATATCTTTAAAGAATAGCACACTTAAAGCCCGCTCAGAGAGGCGTTAGGAATTCTTTCTTTGGGGAGATCAGTTCATTGGGAGCCATCTGGCGTCGTGATTACATGAAAATATGAAAGGGCATGAAAAATTTGTTGATTATCTCGTCCGGATTCCAGATCATCATCACAGCCGAAGAAATTGTGCAAACCATGAGAGGACAGTCCTTCCTTAAGAAATATTATTTTTTGACAATATCCATCGTCCTGTCTATTTTCTAAAAAACGTCTTTTTTATTTTTCAAAACACATCGTTTCAAAGACTGGATTCTGTTCCCGTCCTCACGTAAAACCTACCCAGTTGGTTCCAATAGATAGAGATTGTTCCCATCTAGCTATCTTCCGAAGATAGGGACTAGCTCTATCTACTGGACCCAACTGAGTAGGTTTTACCTGAGGACGAGGACAGAACCCAGTCTCCGAAACGTTATTTTTAAAAATAAACAGAATTTTTTTAGAAAAGAAAGAACGATGGATACTATCCCAAAACATGGGATTTGTAGCAATGTACTATCGTCACAAACTTTTAGGTCTTACTTCCTTGAGAAGTTTAATTTTTCTTTTCCAGGCATGCGGTTCGGGCTGATGCAAACCAAGGTGGGACTTGTCTCACTTCTCTCCAAATACCAGTTCACTTTGAGTAAGAAAACCCCAGTTCCGGTGGTCATAGATACAAAGACATTCTTTTTGTCACCTGATGGTGGAATGTGGCTACAGATTAAGAAGCGAGCTAAATGTACTGTTTCTACTTAATTTGGGAGACTAAAATTTCGAGGCAGGTCACGGTAGCCGAGCCGTCTAAGGCATGCACTGTCTTCTCTTGCTCGGAAGCCGGGATCGTTGGTTCGAATCCCACTCAGGGCATGGATGTTTAGTTTGTGTGTGTGCGTTTTTCTGTGTTTGTGTACAGGTAGAGACTTTGCGACGAGCTGATCACCCGCCCAAGGAGTCCTACCGAATGTGTAAGATGAAGAAAAACAGAAAAAAACGGAGAAGTTCATGGAGGTAGGTCTAGGCCCACTGGGGCTGTAGTGCCAAGGGGAAAAAAAATTCGAGAGGAATTTTGTACACTATTCTCTAAAATTCTATGAAAATTAGCTATTCCTTATACAAAGACTTTCTGTTGGGAACTGTCCATCGTCTGGAACATGTTTAAAATTTATAATTTCACATCTAATGTTGTGTGTTTTAAATATATACCAGAAAATGGACGATGTCCATAAGAGTATTTGTCAAAATTTGTTACATGTTCACTCTTACAAATTAGTTCTTAAATATACTATCAGAGATATCCAATTGCGACAAGTGGGCAACTCTACGTAAATATTATAATGCTATGCATATAATACGGGCATCTTCCTTTAAATATGGCTACAGTCTAAAACATTCCCTTCAAATAAGACAAACAAACCCAAGATATTTATATTGTCACTTGTAGGGGCGACTTGTAAGTTTGGATGATTGGATTTATTGCCCCTATACATTCACACAACTCGGGAATACAGGAAATACAGCGCTATTGCTGATCTAAACACTCTCTACTTCACAGTTTCACACGCAATAGGGTTCTCGGTTTTCATTAGTCGTATCCTGGCAACGGATTTATCACAGTCTCGTTGTAACTTCAAATCACACATGAAGTCTTCCTTTCAGAACCCAGATCCCTTCTTGCCATTCTTCTGCAACTGCCAATTCCGAAGACTCGACTCTCAACTCCCGACAATTGTTCTCTACTCGGTCGCAAAATCAAAATCACAATGGGACTGAAGATCAGTCAGTCAGTTTTAGCATCGAGTCACATTTGGGGCTCATGACCAGATATTTACCGTATTTACGCATGTATAGGCCGCACATTTTTTGCCAAAAATTCAAGAGGAAAACTGGGGTGCGGCTTATATTCGAAATATTCGAAATCACACTTCATTTAAAAAAATATATATATTCATAATTTCGGAATAATTTCTACTCCTGAAATAATATTCCAAGAAAATTATTTTTTCTATAATTTCTGTCTGAAAATTGTGCTGCGGCCTATACACGCACGCGGCCTATACATGCGTAAATATGGTATTACTCTTTGGCAGTTACAGTCTTGTTAGTGTAGTGCCCTCTATGACGAGAAGCGACCATATGTTTTTTTTATAACACCTCGGCACGGACGACTACAAAATACAGCCTCTAATGTTAAGGAGGCCTTTTACTGGTCCGTTACCTATCATTGGACGTCCTATTGTTGAGCACGTTGGCCCCACTTGTTTACCTACTCTACACATCACAATATAAATAAAGTGCTCATAAATGTAAGTTTTGAATAACTGAGAAATAATATGAAATCTGTTTAAGTTATTAATAGCTACTTGAGATATTTGAGCCTGAGAAAATGTGATGTTAAACTTTGGAGTGAATTTCAATAAAGAAACGGTCCTTCGTCTTGAGTTTCATAAATATGTGAATATCATTCTGAACGTCACATACTATTTTTGTAACACGTTATCAGTACTCTTTGTATGTTACAGGAAAGCACATCTGTGTTGTACGTGATCAGTGATTTGCTCTTTTCCTATCATATAAAAACACAGACGTCACATGTAAAAGCAAGAAATGTCTTCATCATTTATAAAATCTTGGCCGTTCCTAGAAAACAACGCAATTTGCTATCTGTATTTTATCGGAGATGTAAACACCACTGTGTGTAGTGTATACACAGCTAAGCGTATATTTATTTACAGATGCAATACAGTGCTAAACTTCATCCTATAGATATTCGTATATGATTCATGGTAGCTCAGCCGATACAAAGGCTAGTATGGAGATGGAAATCGAGATTTCATTCCAGTAAGGAGGAAGAGAATTTTCTCTGAACCCCTGTGTCCGTTCCAACTAAGATAGGAATAAATAGCCCTCTTACACAATCAGTGTAACTTAATTCTAAATTTATAAAAGGAGAAAATTTCTGGACCAGATTAATAATATTCAACTGGTCAGGGAAGATGAACCCTTAGACTGCATATTTAATTTCTATGGTATTCAGTGTTCCAAGTTACCCCAACACATAAGAAACAAGAACATATTAATTATGTGAAATAACAAGCAGGTTCCAATAGAGCCACAAAACGATAATTTTCTCTCGCAATGGTGTCTAATTTTATAGATGTTACAATTTCCTTTATGTGATTTTTTTACCTTTATGTCAGTACGTACTCCAGACTACATAGAACTAAACAGCAGGATGACTGGTAATTATTTTACCTTGATGTCAGTACGTACTCCAGATTACATAGAACCAAACAACAGGATGACTGGTGATTTATTAGTCCGAGAAAATTTGGAAAGAACCGGTAGTGATTTAACCGACAAATTATCCAGGATTTTTTTGAGGGACTGAGAAATACCATAAAAAATCGCTGTTAACCTCTCTGGTTCCTGCCCAAGCTTCCAAGATAGCACTTCGCAAAGACAAGTACTAATATCCTTGCCGCTATATTAAACACGTCATTTATCATCATCATCATCATCATCATCATCAAACATACTTTTATTCTAAGCTTACCTTAGCGGTATTTTGCTACCCTATGGAAGAGAGCAGAAGCTATTCCTATTTCAAGAAAGTACATAACACTGCGTCTCATAGCTATTGCAGACTGATATCCCTTTTAAATTTTTCAGAAATTACTTTAATATGATATTTATGGCCGTGTTTCACATTATCTAAAGTTTAAAATTGGTCCTTATTAGCATTGTTTCTCAAAATCTAAATCTACCATCACCAAATTGGTTACTTATGTCGATTTTACTCCACTTCAGTAGGCCCCCAGATACAAGCTGATGCCTTTTATATCAATTTAAGAAATGCATTCGACTTTGTGCTTTTGGGCTTTATGGTGGGTATGTAAACTGGTTTCACACTTACCTCCCCAACTGGAAACCTCAGGTCCGTTTTTCTGATATTCTTTCTTCATTTTAGAAGCTCTCTCCGGCGTTCCTTCGGGATCTCTCTGGAACCCCTGCTCTTCACTGTGTTTATTAAGACTTATTATACAGTTTCATACTCTAAGTATCTGCTTTTAGTTGACGATACCGAAATCTACCAAGCCATCAAACCAACTGAAGACTACAATCTGCTACAGTCTCATGCTAACCCTGTACAAGCTTAGTACACTGTTAACTATATGAAACTCATTATTTGTAAAACTAAAGTTATACCCTTCTCCAGGAAAATAAACGTACTGATTTATGAATATAAACTTCGCCAATCCTCCTTTAACAAGGACAAGCTCTATAATAAGTCTGGAAATACTTATAGCCACTAAACTTCATTTCCATAACCACGTCAGCCATAATGCTTTGAGTCCAGTTCGTAACACTATCGTCACCTTCTAATCTCTTATATGTATACACAGATTATATATATTACGTCAGTTAGAGCTGAGCTTCAATACGCTTCCGCTCTCTGGAATTTCATTAAGTCAACCAATGCAAACACGTTGGAACGCAACCAGCAGAAATTTTGGGCCCTATATTTTAGTCGATTCTTTCATCAGGTCCTTTACTGTTATTCTCTTGCTTTGGAGTAGTTATAATAGCGCAAATTTCGCATGAGGTGCTATCGCCCCAATGCACTCTTTCTTATTCAAATTTGCCTTGGTTGCATATTATGTTCTTCTCTTTCGGAAAATTCTGATTAGATTTCCTGCTCGGTATATCAGAGACTTTGCTTTGTTAAATTTTTCTTCTGCTAGATGCGATTTTACTACTATTACGGTTTGCAGGGACGTTGATGTATTCGGAGACAAGAACTTTCTCCTTAATCATATTTCATAATGCGTTATAATTTATTAATATTAATATATATATATGTGCATAAATATTAATCTTTCTCGCAGCATAATGGCAAACCATTGGAAATTTTGTTATTTTCTTTCTCACTTTTCAATAATAATTTTGAACTTTCATTGAATTATTACTATTGTTATTAATATTATTATTATATTACTAATATTATTATATAAACTGCCATAATTTATGTTTTGATTGGAAGTTTTTTGTTCTTTCTTTCTACGTACTTGTGGTAACTTTGTAATTGACCTCTTGGTTGTTACGTTTGCACTTTAATAACCAGGAATTAAATTATAATTAATACTCCCTCAAATTGCAACGAAGGGCGGCAGCACAGGGCCTCGCGCCTCTGTCAACATGAGGATGATTCTCTTTATAAATTAACTGTTACCCAAACATGTTGAACACTGTTGTGGTTGCTGATGGAGGAGGATAATAATGATGTGTGTTCATTTATTTTACATTGTTAACGTGCTTAGATATCACAAACACACTGTAATATCTCTGATTTTTTTCTGAATATTACCAAGTAATAGATGTTATATTAACCTAACCGCAGAATTTACTGTAAAAGTTGTCAAAGTTATTGGTATTTTTAGCCAGACGCTCTTAGTTGCAACGACGCTGTTCTTAACAATGGCCAGTAATTATCTGTGATCTATGTCCATCAACAACAGGTTGTGTTCCTTTATGCAAGTGTACTGTACTTCTTGAGAAGTATTTTTTAGTATGAATGGGATGAAAATGTACGCAGAAAATTCTAATCTGGCGATTCCGAGATAAAAGAAAGTGATTGACACAATAAAGTAATATAAAGAATTGAGTGGGTCCATGTTGAGATTTTTGAGAATAATTGAAGATGCATGTTGTAGTGGAAACAAACAACGCACGGAGTTCATATGGAGAGGCTCAATCTCAAGAAATTAGGTGAAGTAGACGAGAAAGTGCAGTCGTGGTGCAATGAAAAAGTTCCCGAAATTTGAAATTTGCGCGCGAATGGTTATGAGTATATCGAAATATCGCTAGGTGTCTCCTCACACACTGTTCTTGAATCAGTGTGGCAAGCGGAGTCAAGTTGAGTGGTTTATTTTACTGTTGGTAAACGTATTTCCATTGTTGTGTTTTCGTGAGTTTGCTGTTCTGCGGTGGCTGACTTGAGAGAACAGCGTGTCTGTATAAAGTTTTGTTTTAAACTTGGGATAGCCGCTGCAGAAGCGCACCAAATGTTGAAGCAAGATTTTGGTGAAAACAGTTTAGACCAGACACAAACTTACAACTGGTATAAACGTTTTAAAAATGGCCGAACATTGACTGATGATGACGATCGTTCGGGACGGCCGTCAACGGGCAAAACACCAGAAAATGTCGTGAAAGTTAGGGATCTGATTCTGCAAGATCGTAGACTGACCATCCAAGACCTCTGTAACACCTTGGGACTAAGTTATGGTATATGTCAACGAATTTTGTGAGAGGAACTGAACATGAGGAGGAATTTGCGGCTCAGGAAAACTTAGATACGGAGGTGGATACTGAGCTTTGGAAACAATTAGAGAGAATATCAAAATTTCTGCCAAAGAGAATCTAGGCTATTATGAATTGAAGAAACATAAGCCATGGTTCGATGGAGAAAGCTTAAAATTATTAGACCAAAGTAAATAAGACAAATTGCAATCGTTACAGGATTCAAGGAAAAAGGGAGGGGGGATGATCTGAACAACATACGACATGAAGCCAGTAGGCATTTCAGGAATAAGGAAGGTGTGTATGAAAGATAAAGTTCGTGAGGTTGAAACGAACAGTAGTAACAAGAATATTAGGGACCTGTATTGAGGAATAAATGGCTTTAATGGGATACCAACCTAGTAATAATAGTATAATAATAATAGTAGCTCAAGCGGTTAGTCGCGTGTTTTCCACCGCAATGGCTCGGCTTCTATCCCGGGTCTGGTCAAGTGGCATTTGTGGTGGACGAAATCGCGTTGGGGCAGGTTTTCTCCGAGAACTTCGGTTTCCCCTGCCAATCTTCATTCCACCAATTGCTCCACAGTCACCCTCGCCTATCATCCAGGGCTGGTACAATAGGCCAGAAGTGGCCGCAGTACAAGGGACTTAGTCCCACCCCACTAGCAATAAAAAAAAATTAATAGTGCCAACATTAACGGATAGAGGGTGTAGTGTGGTCAGCGCCGTCAATTTCGGTTTTCTAGGCCGGAGTCGCTGCTTCCTTGAAATGGCTCCTCAATTATGATCACGAAGCTGAGTGGACCACGTTCCAGACCCACTACTTCTCAGAAAAATTCTGGTAGCGCCGGGAATCTAACCCGGACCTCTGTATCTGTAGCCAGGAACTCTGACCACTAGACCACAACCCCTTTAATATCTAAATAACTTAGTGGAGATGAACTCGTCTGGAGAAGCCGCCAGTTGTGACTTTACTCAAGAATTACCCAATATTTTATGGAATCTGAATGTCTGATTCTCAACCAATACCAGAATGTAATTGTCGTCTACATATATTGACGTGATTCACTGCCCTTTAAATTATTCTGCTTCGACAGCTTTTGTTAAACCTTAAATTTGTTAAATAAAACCGGGTACAAAAAACACAAAACGAAACCGGTAGTTAATTAATGGCGGCAGTCTTCGGATTATAATTGTGACAAAATTGTATATGAGGCACCAAGTACTAACGATGATTTCCCCCAAATCTATTAATTATCAATTAATATGATTGCTTGGTGAATATTTACGCGTTGCTATGTGTATTTATACATGTATACAAATTTGGATTTTAATAAGGAAATTATGTAAAAATTATGGGCATTTTTGATTTGCTTACTATGTGTAATACAGAATTTAATAGAAATTGTATTGAACGTTATTGATAACTATGGTTTCGGGGACTTTGGGCTCTTCAAACAAGGAGTAATTTCTGGCTTACAGCAGAAAAATAACCAAAAGCCCAGAAATAAATTTATGAAAGCTATTAACGCAGAAATTTACAGAAGACACAATGATACAAGAATCGTTGAGAAGACTGCAGTCTCCTTATACCGATAGCATACTTAACAAGCAAATAATTTAGAATTTTATAGAAATATATTCGGAGCGGCTGTTTTAAGCCAGTTTTGAATGGATTGTATATGGCACCCATGCGTGCCACATTCTACATTCCGCATAGAGTGAAGACGCAGGTTAAACACGCTCATGATGCAAAGTCTTCATTGATATTTAATAAAGTGCCCCTGTGCAATAAATAAAGTGTTTTTATATAAGTGAAGTTCAAATCAAATTCATTACTGAGGTACACTAGTGTACACAGGAAAAGAGGGGAACCCTAACTAATGGCTTATAATTGGATTGAACTTGTGACACCTCTCACCCTAGGGGCCCTCAGGTAAAATTGATGAACATACAGCAGTTCGTCTACGTACTATCCTGGTTCAGAAAAACCTGATAGTGTAAAATGTTATCTGTTGCCCAGTTAAACTGGATATATTCAGTTCTTCTGAAACTCTTCAAAAGATAAATGAAGGAAAAGGGAAGTGCAAAGGAGGAATGGCAATAAAACTTATCACATACGGATAAGGATAAAAACAGTACAGTGTGCACCTTCGTGGTTTTTCTCAAACATTTAGAAAAATACCAAGATTCTACATTAAAGTAAAGCACGACGAATGTAATCCAACAAACTCACGACTTATACTCATCCTGCCAACATTGATACTTGAAGAAGAATAATAATCGTGCATTTATACGATAGGATCAGATTTCGTTCTGACGAAAGAAAATATCCCTAATAATATTTTATAATATTATTATATAAATAATTAAAAAGAAACAATTCGCGCATGAGGACAACTGAAATTAGCTGCTTTTCTTATCAGTAAACCGCGTAAATTAGTATAAAACTAGAACTCGGTTAGGTTTGAGGAAGGCGAATACTAGCTCAGAACGTAAGATGTAGAGAGAGACCGTAGTTATGCTTCCCCATGTTATTACTAACGACATTAATTCGTCTGCGATAAGAAGAATAATCACGAGTTATGTAATTTTCTTGCAATTCTTGCAATGAAATAAATTTATTCTGTTATGTCATTATTTTTTCTGAACGAGACCAGAACATAGTGCTCTTGCCCTCTGCCTTCTCTGTAGCTACAGGACGCGCCATGAATCCTGCACATCAGTCTTTATCTGAATGAGATAAGAAAGTATTAGTGCACGTGACCGTTATCAGCGTATATCACACTGTGGCTTCAGATGGCATTAATCACCACTTCAAGAGAGATACTTGCACAGGTAATACTGATCACTGTCATATCTGCATTTGTTAGAAGCGAATTTATTTCACATTAACAGTGAAACACTTTGTGATTTAATATTATACTTTCAGTATACTTTCAGTATACTTTCATTTTCTTTGTACTTCAATTTTATATGTAACAACAGCTGAGATTCCTACTCTGATTTGATATTTTAAGGAATGTAGTGCGCATGAAGCATCCGTAACAATTTTTATAAGAAAGCTTGAACAGGAGATAGAACTCGGGGTGACGTAAGCATGAAAGGGGGGATGATATTATGATGGATCTTCATGAAACAGGATGCGAGGAAGTGAGCTAGATATTGCTTCCTCGTGATCAAGTGCAGACAGAAGTTCGCAGTTGCGTGAGAAAGTTTCCTTCCCCTTAGTCGACTCGCCATGGGCTGCTTTCTCTCCTGATTCTGTTTGTTAATATCCTTCCTCACTCTGCAGCCAGTTACGCCATGAGAAATTACTCCATTCTTTATGATGCATTATTCAGTACGCATTCCTCTTCTCGACCCTTCATATTGTGAACTACCGACAGTGTCTTTAAATAAATCACATACCTTCATCCGTTATCATTTTGTGATTTGGGTAACAATATTTGGGCAATTATTCTTCTTTGATAACGGAAAATATATTCCAAAAGAAAGTGTTAAACTTAAATCTTATTAGGCTATAAGATTTTGCTGTTTATTGCTTCATTTCCTATTTCGTTATTTAAGAGTCTGTATTAAGGATGTACTGTGTACCATTATAATTTGGTCCCTTATGGTCATCATGGCTTGACGTGCCTTTACGTTGCGAATGATGCGAAGGCCTTCAAGATATAGAAACTGGGAATATACTGATTAATCGGTCACGGAGGGTATACAAATTATAGCCTGCAGCTTGGGCTTGGGCATAAGGTTTAAATTCTACATCATAGATTGAACAGCTTGTTACGAAAGGGTAATCACTGTCTTACACTTTGATAGAATCTGAAAAAATACCTAAACTTAGAAAAACGGACATGAGATTTGGAGGTACCGACAGTACATGAAACAAAAACGGGACAGACAGCGTTGAGTGGAACTGCACATCGTGACCAAAGCAAATCATCTACAAAATGGATGTTGTATGTAAGCAGATGATTTAAAGATACTAAAGCCATTTTGGAAAGGTATTACTTCTACCCAATATTTAAAATTTTTATTTCACAAAACAACAATAATTTCTCTACTCTTAAAACACACAGGAAACGGCCACATAATTCGCGCGTAAGTAAATTATTATTTCTGTTACATTTTCTGGTCAATGCCCTTGAGTAGTGCACTGTATCGCTTATTGCTCCATATTATGAAACACATTAATGCATGAAGTGAACAAATGAAATAAAAATGCTCCTTTTTGGGGGTTCTAGTTTGCTCGATTAAGCTGTATTCTTAGCATTCATGTTTTGAAATATAATCATATGGCGGTAAATACACAGACAACGAAATTTAAATTTCGCTAACCGCATATTTCCTGTAAATTATGAAAACAACAGGGAAAAATTTGCGACCCACAATATTCTTAGTGACAGCAGGACGGAACTTGTAAAAATGGGACATACAGGCACACAGAATGTAACAAGAATTTACAGGGCAGGTTCACTGAAAATAACAGCAATATGATTAATGAATTATGTGTGACATTTATTGCATGCAGTATAAAGATGAGGTGGGACACAGGTGGAGCTAGCCCTGTAACAGGCCGTGGAGGCCGATAGGTTTGTGGGAGGTTGAGGGTCCCACATTATCTAGATAATCAGCTCAAAGATGGCGGTAAGGTTGTCAGTCTTCCTCGCTTTACTCCTCAGGAAAATTATTTAATTAATTCCTGGAACTCATTTCTGTTAGAGACTGATTCGACCTCAGGGCCATAGTGCGGCTGGATGGATTATGTCAATTTAAAAAAAATCCAATGACCTCATCGGGATTTGAGCCCGCGACCTTCCGGCTTGTAGCATAGTGCCTGAACCAACTACGCTACCGCTTGCCCCCTATATGTTGAAATAGCTGGGTAAATTTGGCAGGAGTTTTACAGTGATTGAGATCAGCTATTTCTAAGGGAGCGAACTGAGTAGGCGTCTTCCTTTCTCACCTGAAGACAAAACAGATCCAGTTTCCGAAACGTCATGTCCTCTATTACCTAGAATTCCGGACGATGAAAAGTCCAAAACCCCAGTAATTCTGTGATCAGTCACTGTTCTCTGTGTTTTCTTCTGTCATTTAATGATGGCAGAGCAACTCTGAAATTTCTTTACAGTAACCAACTTTAGTAATATCAAAATTACTCACTTTTATTGTATTTGACTTCTCGAAGATATTGCAGATATGACGTTGAAAAATTCCCTCAATTACTAAGTGTCCTTGAAACTTGTCAGTCTGTCTAAAATAATATTTTTGGATATAATCCTACAGGTGCGACTTCAAGTTTACTTAAAAATATGGGGTTTCTATTTGAGAACGCTCTTGTGGATGTGGGGGCTCTGGCAGCCTGCCTCCTCGCAATGGTATACATATACTTCAAGAGGTCTACTTCGTATTGGAAGGAAAGGAAAGTTCCTTACATCGAACCAACATTCCCATTCGGAAATTTCAGAGACCAGATATTCATTAGAAAACCTATAGGATATGTATTCGCGGATCTTTACAAGAAGCTAGACGGTGAGAACTATGGAGGGACTTACATGTTCACGAAACCTCAATTCATTTTCCGTGACCCGGAAATTATAAAAAATATCCTGGTTAAAGACTTTACCAGCTTCCATGATCGTGGCTTCTTCATTGATGAAGAGATTGAACCTCTTACTGGCCACTTGGTCCTTCTTCCTGGAGAAAGATGGAGAAATCTTCGTGTAAAATTGACACCAACTTTCACTTCTAGTAAAATTAAAATGATGTTTCAAGGTTTGGTTGATTGTGGGCACGAACTTGGAAGCATTCTAGAAGAAACCGCCCGTAGAGAAGAGATTATTGAAATCAAAGATATCTTGGCTAGGTACAGCACGGACGTAATATCGTCATGTGCATTTGGCATCCAATGTAATTGTCTCGAGAATCCAGATGCTGAATTTCGTCAATGGGGAAGGAAAATCTTCGAATCCTCGATAAGGTCGTCAGTAATTGAAACTCTGAATGCAATATTTCCTTTTTCGATAAGTCTCCTGAAGTTGAATGTGTTTGATCCCAAAGTTTCAAAATATTTTCGAAGTATGGTTCAAGACACCGTGAACTATAGGGAGAAAAACAACATTAAACGCAATGACTTTTTGCAACTGCTTATCAAAATCAAGAATGAGGGCAAAGTGGATGAAGAGCATGATTATCTACAGGAGAATGACCATGGGAAGTTTGAGAAGACGTCAGGTGAGAATGTTTAGTTTGGTACATACGTATAAATATATACAACCATTTTCTCTTTTCTGACTGATCAGCTCTATTGAAGCAATGAGTTTTTCAACCAGAAAAATGTACTTGACTCTGTCGAAAGTACTCTGCATATAGATAGCAAAGTTGCATTCTACCATATCTTTATGATATTGATCTTATTACCTTCATATACTTGAAGAAAGCAGTCTTCTGGGATTTGGCACCGTGTATATGTGGTGTTAACCGACGTTTCGCAGTCTGCTTTTACCGGTTCTCACGGTCTCTTTGCTTGCAGATTTCTTATATATTTTTTCTTCTACCCTGAAGATGGAGGCGATACGTTCCTCCGAAACGTCGGTTAACACCACATATACACGGTGCCAAATCCCAGAAGACTGCTTTCTTCATAGTCACCGCCGTGAAAGCCTCAAATCTTACACCTTCATATACTTATTTCAATATGTCTTCTTTTCTCATGATTTAATAGCTACATCTCTTAAAAATCTCCAACCTGAAATCTTGAGTACCGAAAACAAAGTGAAGTAATGTATATTAATTTTTAATAAATTGAGAACAGAATATAAACCCAAACTTCTCTGATACTGGCCCCCGTTCATATTGTAGCGTACAATGTCCTTTATACTCTTACATTTTCGCTTAAATCAGTAAATAACAGATATGTTTAACCTCACTATAAATTATGTATCTACATCAGAACTCAAGCCGTCATTAAGTTTGTGTCCTGTGATGTATATTTTGGTCAAAATTTAAGAAGTTATCGTAGAGTTATTAATCATGGGTACTCTCGAGTCACATTTTTTTCTTATCCTCATTAATATTATATTTAAATAACTAACCCTTAATTGAATGTGGTAATTATACAAGCCATTTGGTTTAACGTTTAGAACACCACCCTTCACACATAAATGCATTTCTTAGATCCACTGGTTCCCACTTTAGACAACAGTAAATTTCCTGAACATCATCATTTCCGTTACTTTACCGATAGATAAGTGTACTATAATTGTAAAGTAAGAATTGGACATTTTTACAGTTTTCAGATAACCTTCGCTGTGGTCAACTCACTTATGTGCAGATATAACCTTAGGTTCCGTGCGTAATAGGTGGGAAGCTTTGTTCCGTGTTGCTCATGCATTTAATCTTTATTAATGTAGGTTTGTCGATGAACTCTTTGGCGGCCCAGGCCTTCGTATTCTTTCTTGGGGGTTTCGAGACTTCGTCAAACACCATGACTTTCTGTCTGTACGAGCTGTCATTGCACCAGGACATACAGGAATGTCTCCGGGAAGAGATCGATACTGTGCTGAAGAAACATGAAGGCAAGATTACTTACGAAGCCATCCAAGAGATGGAGCACTTGGATAAAGTTGTTGCAGGTAATGCTTCCTTACCCTTGACAGAGAGTTAATAATTTTCTGGAAAAAAAACAAAACAATCTCCATGATTTTAGTCCGCAAGCGAACTATACAGACCGAGCGACCGCCGCTTGTCGGCGAAGTTCAGTGCCAACTTTTGCGGATAGAGGGTGTTGCGTGGTCAGCGCAACGAATCCCCACGGCCGTTAATTTCGGTTTTCTAGACCGGAGCCGCCATTTCCTTGAAATAGTTCCTCAATTATCTTCATGAGACTGAGTGGACTCCGTTCCAGACCCATTACTTCTCAGAAGAAATCTTGTAGCGCCGGGAATTGAAACCTGACCTCTGGATTTGTAGTCAGGAACGCTGACCACTAGACCACAGAGGCGCTCAAATTTTTCTGAAAAAGGAACATAAATTGGCAACATAGTTCTTATCGTTATAGCTGTAGTCATTTCTTCACGCATTCGTCAGTGTCGAACATAACCTGTTTGCAAGAAAGTATTCCCATCTCTTCTATTTGTGTTGCCTGTGTTTAAAATTTATTTCATGAATACTCGTATACCGTAATTTTTCTCTCAGATGTGAGCACGGGGGAGCCAGTTTTATTTCAAATCCAAGGAGCTTACTTATATTACTGAAAGTGCAATTTCCTTCAATGACGAAGAATGTCACTATTTTCACTCTTCATCAAAGTTTATTACGGAGATGAAATCAGAGAGGACGACATGGAAGCAGATCTATAAGTACTGAGTAGATAAGAAATATATATGCAATGCTGGCCTGAAAGTCTAAAAAGAAACAATCGCTTTGGTGAAGTAGGCGTACATGGAGGAAATGGCAAGATGTGTCTGTTAAATAACAAGGCAAGAGTATGTGGATCACGATAGGTGCTAGAGGTGAGCACTTGTGAATTCTGTCGAACTTAGGGTCTAATAAATGGAGTAATATTTCTTGGTGGGAGTGTTCATCACGTTCTCGAGAAGCATTCTGCCCCATAGGGGTTGTCACTCAATCGATCTGTCAGTTAAGTGTCCTGTCCTGTTACAATTATCTATGTATAACCTAATTTCCATTTTCATTGCTTATTTGCGTTACTCTCATCTGGTTCCACGCAGCTTTACAAATCATTGTAGATAATATTAATTATATTCCTCTCAGCACAACACCTTTCCACCACATGGAGTTTGCTGTACAGGGCGAGATGTTTCAGCACATGTCCGCTATTTCAAAGTCAGGGTCTTACTTACAACTCTTCTTTTATGTACTTAGCGTGAATTTTCCTTGTAATTATTTGAATCTGTGGCTCTGAACACACTATAACTGCAAATATGATAAGTTCTATTGTTCTACTCTTCTTTCTAAAGAACATATTCATTACAGCCCATAATGTGGTTTATAGGTTATAACGTACTAGTGAATCCAATCGATTTACATGGAAAATTTGCGCCAAATGTAGGACAGAATATTTGTAACTAAAAATCGGACGTGAATATGTCAAACATATGCCGAAACATATAACCTAGATGACAAACTCCATATGCTGGAAATAGTGTTGTGCTGACAGGAATATGAAAACATTGTCTGCAGTGAGTTAAATTCTTCCGCTGGAATGCTAGCGTAAGATACGTGAAATAATATTGGTACAGTCAGTTAGTTATACAACACTTCACACTCTGTGTTCCAACTTCTACACTTAACGGGAGAACACGCGATAAGCATGTCCACGCATAAGCGCACTTAACAATAGGATGAATATTTATAGCGCGTTGCTAGACAACAAACCGAGCCATTGGACTACGAGTAACGAGGTAGCAATCATGTGACTGGCTCTATATGGGTTCCGCGCAGCGACAGCTGATGTGCAATGTTTTGGTAAACACGTTTCAGCAATAGAAGCTGTGTTCTCTGCTTTGTCTGTGTGGAGGCTGTATAACGACAGCTACAGATATAATCAGTTTCAGTTTTTAAGCGACATTGACAAAGTGGAGAGTCCAGGAGAGTTCAGCAGTTGAGAGTCCAAGGAAGAGAATAGAGCGTGAATTGTGAAGTTTAATTGAGTACAGATTTGGACAGAGGAGTAATGAGTGATTTGAAGAATTTATTTATATGTAATACTTGGAATGTGTGATTCAGTGAGACTGTAATAGTCCCTGCGTTTTAATTGTGGTGCCAGAAGAGGATCAGTGTGTGTCTAAATAAGCGATAGCGCTCTATTGCCTGTATTTAAGTGTCATTGTGAGAGGTTGAAACAAGATATTGATAAATCTAATCATCCGAAATAGAACCCGTCACTCTCGTCACGCGTACCAACCTACACGTGACAGTATGTAATAATGCACAGGTTCGAGAACAGAACGGTGATTGATGGTTACTGTTCCTCTGGTGGCAATAATGATTCATCCATCTGAAAATCTATAAGTATAATACAGCTGAAATACAGTGCATTCAATTTTTCTTTGAATATTCTTTCCAGAAACTCTTCGGAAATATCCACCAGTTCAGATCTTAAACCGTGAATGTACCAAAGCCTACAAAATACCTGACACGGATATTGTCCTGGAGAAAGGAATCCGAACGGTTATACCCGTCTTGGCCCTTCATCACGACCCTAAGTATTATCCTGACCCTGAGAGATTCGACCCGGAGAGATTCAGTGAAGAGGAAAAGGCGAAGAGGCACCACTACGTGTATCTGCCCTTCGGAGAGGGTCCCAGGATATGCATAGGTACGTTCAGTCTAACAAAATATTATGTTAAGTGCTGATCATATTTTTCAAGTAACCAAGGGAACTTTATGTGCAAACCCATGACTACTGAGTCACCTAAGTATTTTAGGATGATCAAAACTATGGGCATACATTGGGAAGGACTTCAGTACTAAGGGAAGAGATGAGTAGCGCACACAAAACCTTAATCAAGAAACAAAATACGAATTGTTTTTAGGACTTGTACACATAGAGAAGACAGAAATATTAAGATGTTGGAGTAATAATCCACTGATATGTTAGGTTTTTGGACTTTATCCATCGTCCTGGTAATTCTATAGTAACTACTTGGAGTAATAATGCCTGATATGGATTCCATCGACCTGCCTTAGGACAAGACCCAGTGCCCATGGCAGATAACCTTTGGGTTCGACGAACTGTGAGGAAGTCCTTGAGCAGCTGTTCAACTACTGACCTTTCGAGAATAACCACAATTTGTGAAGACAGTTTTTTTTTATTATTTCTAGTGGGGTTGGACTAAATCCCTTGTACTGCGGCCATTTCTGGCCTATTTTACCAGCCCCAGATGATAGGTGAGGGTGATTGTGGAGCAATTGGTGGAATGAAGATTGGCAGGGGAAACCGAAGTACTCGGATAAAACTTGCCCCAGCGCCACTTTGTCCACCACAAATCCCACTTGACTAGACCCGAGATCGAACCCGGGCCGCCGCTGTGGGAAGCCAACGACTAAACGCTTGAGCTATGGCGCTGTGAAGACAGTTAGTTAGGGCCTTCCAGCATCACATAATGCTCGCAGTTTTTGGAGAAATAATAATGAAGGAAAAAGAAATTCATTTCACCTCCTCAATAAAATATTATTAAAAAATCAGGCATGGTTCTATGCATTTATATCCATTTCAAAGCCAAATCAGTCATGTGTTAGGAGTGAGTTGTTGGAGGATCAGTGCTTCGAGAGCAGTCTGCCTTCATGGTAACATAAAGAAATACAAAAGGAAGAGGAAAATATGTTATTGTTCCCTACCACGGTTCAAAAGTGATCCCACCAGAAGAAATAGTACAAACTAATGCACGACATTCCTTTCTTCTGAAGTTAAAATTGCGTTTTTTGCAGGAATGCGGTTCGGGCTGATGCAATCCAAGGTGGGGATTGTCTCTCTTTTATCCAAATACCAATTCAACGTGAGCATGAAAACTCCAGTTCCGTTGGTATTTGATAGGAAACTATTCACACTCTCACCTCTTGGTGGCTTGTGGCTGCAGATTAAGGAGCGCGTGACATAAAACACTTCTGTGTAAACCGGGAGCACGAAACGAAGTAGTTTGCTATATCTTAAACCGTTCTTTAAGTCAGGTCTTTAATACGATACCTGGAAATACAAAGCACTATAAGCGAGCAACTGTTCAGTTACACGTAATAAAAAATGTAGAAATATGAATATAAATCTAAATTAAAGGACTAAACTCCGTGGTTTTAGTCCGCAAGTGAACTATATCGACAGAGCAACGGCCGCTTCTCGGCGAAGTTAGTGCCAAATTTAGAGGATAGAGAGTGTCGCGTGGTCAGCGAAACAAATCCCCACTGCTGTTAATTTCAGTTTTCTAGACCGGAGCCGCTAATTTTCCTTGAAGTAGCTCCTCAGTTATCCTCACGAGGCTGAGACACACAACTTCTCCGAAAATCTGGTAGCGCCGGGAATCGAACCCGGATCTCTGGATCTGTAGCCAGGAACTCTGACCACTAGACCACAGAAGCGGTCTAATATGAATATAACACTTATATATATATATATGTACTTTTCAATATGGATATACTTTATAATTTTCTCTTAAAGAAATCTGAACAAATTGAAGTTGTCATATGCCTATGTACTACTTCTTGTAACGTAGAAAGGATTGAAGGAAACGTCTCAGCCACTGCTGACAAGCATGCCAGATGCCAGTTTCCTCTAAGGCCGGTATGAGCTGGGTAACAAGTGCATAGAGGGCAGAAAGTATCCCAAACCCTTCTGTATATGGCGGGGAAGAGAAACGTCCGATTGTTAGAGTCGTTTTACTGGTTGAAATATGCTGGGTCGTTTCCAAATAAGAGAAGACACGTATTGGTCAGCGAGAATGTCTAGATGGGAAACCGGATGTTAGAAGCAAGAAACAAAATTTCTCACGAAATTTTAGCTTATGCCTTCTGTTTTGTCACTACACATTATGAGACGCCCGTTTTCTTACAGCACACACCGCAGGGTTTTAAATTTTTCTGACTTCGTACAGAGTTTCATAGACAACTCTAACTCGAGGCGAAGTTACATCTTACTGGAATCTCCGGCGAATTGGAAGGATCCCGTTTGTGGCAGCTCGCGAGCATCTGACCGTACTGAAGTCTCGAGCTTCCATACATTTTCTTGAATAGACGTCTCTACGTAGACCGCCTCTGTGGTCTAATCGTCAGAGTTCCTGGCAATAGATCCAGAGGTTCGGGTGCGATTCTCCGTGCTACCAGATTTTCTGAGAAATAGTAGGTCTGGAACGGGGTANTTCCTGGCAATAGATCCAGAGGTTCGGGTGCGATTCTCCGTGCTACAAGGTCTGGAACGGGGTACATTCAGCCTCGTAAGGATAATTCGGGATCTCTTTCGAGGAAATAGCGGATCTGGTCTAGAAAACCGGGAATAACGGCTGTGGGGATCCGTTGCGCGGACCATACGACACCCTCTATCCGCTAAAGTTGGCCCTAATTTCGCAGACAAGCGGCGGTCACTCTGTCGGTATAGTTCGCTTACGGGCTCAAACCACGGAATTTTTGACGTCTCTATGTAGCATTAGTTTTGCCTAATTTTCAAAGATGTACGTGTATTACTGACCTAACACATATGCGCTCCATTAGGAATTGTGGAAAGAAAAGTACGCATCTCTCGAACCCTTTACATCTTCAGCTTCATATTACACACACAAGCGCTTTGTTCCCCAAACGAGGTTCTGGTGACAGACCCTGGTAAAACAACCACTATATCAATGGAGGATTTGCAATTTTATTAGCGGCGGTTGCGAAAAGTCCTACTATTTGGAATATACATAATTCCGTTTAACACACTGAAAATCAACTGGCGTTTTCGAATAAGGTACCGCTTCAATTTCAGGGTCGAAGAATAATCCAAGGCGGAAAACGGTACGAAGCAGGTAGCAAGCAGAAAGGAGGCGGCATGTTCCTCTAGAACGTTTTATGACTTTCCACGCATCACCTGCCGTTATACGCCTGAAGACGGAACTCTGCGAAAGCATCAAATCAAGTTTCTAGAAACTCTCAGTACCAAATGTTAGATCACGGGCGGTTTAGGTGTTTACTTTTAAGTTTGTATTTCAAGAAATATTTCGTTCCAACTGTATCAACACTTGAGACCACTAATCTATCAATCCTTGAGACTTTAATACTATACGTTAAATAATATTATTGTCAGACATTATTCTATCGCATACATTTCCTTTATTTGATTTTGTATGTTCTGTTTCATTTCATGTAGTGTGTCGTCGACTCTTTCGAATTCTTCTACGAGTATTTACATTTTATGTATCTACCAAATGGTGAGTGTAATCGCAAATATCGCTACAAACTACTGAATTGGGGTTTATTTCCGGCTTCTAAGTCGCCTACATGTCGCTGGTTCCTCCACGACATTCAGGAGTTGAGGTTCAAAAGGTCATCTTAGTTTGCATTCCAGTTGAAGTCCCGTTATTCCACTTATATCCGTGTTTTATTCAGCCCATGATGTCGGAATTTAGTAATTACAAAGAAAAATTCTTTCATGGTATGGATTTATGTAATGAATGAATAAAGTGTAATTCTGTACTTCTTTTGGCTTATTTTGGACTTCACCCATCGTCCGGTATATAAAAGACAAAAAACCACGACGTTTCGGAGACTGGATCTGTCTCCGTCTTCAGGTGAATAGGGAAGGTTAAACCTACTCAGTTGGGCCCCTTAGAAAGAGCTAGTCTCAATCACTGGACCACAGAGTGTAATTCTGTTTCATACAAAACTTTATCGTTTGCCTTACGCCCTTTCCTCTATGAATCTGAAATCAACTAATAACACGAATTATCGAGGCTCAGAAATTATAACTTCTGTTTTCAATTTAGGTCTCCGATCTGCATCTTGCCCTGAAGACTTGCATCTGGACTGAAGTGTTTCGACATATCCTCCTTCCCTAGGAAAGTATTCAGATAAAAATATTTATATAATGAAATTATCACAAACACAAAATACGGAAATCTACTATTGTTTCCTTTCATGATATACCTCGGCCAATATTACTTTATAGACCAGTGATAATATCACAAGGTAATATTCTAGTGAATTGAGAAAATTGCTCATTCTGGACTTTTTTCTTGATTGCCGACCATAAGGTCACCATCTACTCCACTGAGTGCCATAGTAAATATTACCATAAACATTAACCAGTTTCACATTACTTTAACAAACACATCTACACACTTATTATCTCAGAAATATTAGTTGGGTAAACCCGAGGAGCCTGATACTCGTATTACACTCTAAAATGAGAACGACATATTTTGCCTAATGTTTATAAAATTAATTTGAATTGATCAGTTACTGTTTTTTTTTTATGGTTTCTTCTTCTTTCTGGCAGAGCAACTCTGACATTCTTTACATGTAACCCACTTTGTTATAACCAAAGTAACACTTTTATCGTACTTATCTTCTTGAAGATACTGCAGATATGACGTCGAAAACATCCCCTCAGTTATTAAGTATCCTTGTCAATCTGTCAATCCGTTGAAATTAATTTGCTTGGCTTAAATCCTGTAGATGTGACTTGAAGTTTATCTACAAAAATATTGGATTACTCTTTGCGTCCGTTCTTTTGGATACGGGGGCTCTGGTAGCCTGTCTCCTTGCAGTGGCATACCTCTACCTCAAGTACTTTCTATTGGAAGGAAATAAGGTGTCTTAAACCGAACCGACAACCCCCTTCACAAATTTCAGAGACCACATATTCATAAGAAAACCTACATGACCTGTATTCGCAGATCTACAGTAAACAAAAAGCTAGACGGTGAGAAATATGGAGGAACATACATGTTCACAGAACCTGGATTCATTTTCCGTGACCCAGTGATTGTAAAAAACTTTCTGGTTAAAGAGTTCACCAGTTTCCAAGAACAGCTTAAACCAAATTCAGGCCATTTGATTCTTCTTGCTGGAAACAGATGGAGAAATCTTCGCGTCCAGTTTACACCAACTTTCACTTCCGGTAAAATGAAGATGATGTTTCAAATATTGGTTGCGTCTGGGCACGAACTTGGAACCATTCTAGATGAAACCGCTATTTGGGAAGAGATTATTGAAATCGAAGCTATCTTGGCCAGGTATTGAGCACGGTCGTAATATCGTCACGTGTATTTGTCACCCGTTGTAACTTTCTCAAGAATCCAGACTCTGATTTCCGTCAATGGGGAAGGAAAATATTCAAACCATTGATTAAGTAGTCATTAAATGGATCTCTGAGTGCACTATTTCCCTCTATGGTGAGCCTATTGAATCTGAGAAGTTCAGATCCTGGAATTTCAAATTATTTCGGAAGCATTTTTCAAGACATTGTGAATTATAGGGAGAAAACACATGTTAAATGCTATGACTTTGTGCAACTGCATATCCAGATCAAGAACAAGGACAATCTGGACGAAGAACGTGGGTTTATAGAACAAAATAATCACGGAAATTTGGAAAACCAATCTTGTGAGATATCCCATATTTGTCACATGAGTATGAACACGTGCTCCCCTGGCGGTTCAGCTCTATTGTAGCTCTTGCATTTCCAATTTTACACCTTTGTTGAATCAGTAAATGGCAGAAATATTTTCACCTTACAATACGAGATCTACGTAAATTAGAACTAAAGCGGTAGTTATATCTGTATCCTGTGATATATATATATATATATATACCTTGGGG